CACGTTCTGATCGCATTTTTGCATTTAACAAGGGATAACGATAAAAGCAAATCTATTTTTGCAATATTCTGCGGATGTATAACTATGAATCGTTTTTATCGCGCACGGCTAGACAACACTTACAAAGTACAATTTTATAATTTATTTACAATGTAATCTACGGCAATTTTTAGATAAATAATTGGATAGATAGGATTTTGAAAAGGAAAAAATAGTATAATTCTATTATCATTATTTTATATAAACTAAATTACATTATCATTTATTGGCATATTGTTAACATTAACAAATACAAATAATGGTATATTAAGAAAATAAGTAAAGAAAACTAGTGTTACATTCAATGTATATGTATATGTACCTAAAAACTTAAAAACTTTAATCTTCATCATCTGTTTCAAAAAAACTAATATTACCATTGGTGTAATCACACGTCTCATCATCACAATCATTATCTACTAATAAAATATCTTCGATGCGCAAAGGTGTCAATTCACCCTCGTACCAAAGAGGTACTAGCTTATTACTTTCGTCCACAATCCAACCGCAATCTTCAGCGCGAAGATTTTTACAATTAGAATTTGTTGCATTTTGCCACATGGAATTAACATAAATGGTATGCAAGACTTTTTGTTTCAGTGATTTCCAGCATGGCGGAATCAAGCTCGAATCAAAGTTCTTTATATTATTAAGAAAATCTTTATGACTGGTTTGGGCATACAGCTTTTGGAATAATTGAAACCGAGCAGCATTGATACTCTGGTAATTTTTGACGGCATAAAGCTGTACGGTATATGCTTGAATTTTCGACATTTTTGCATCATCGTAAATATCGTCAGGATTTTGTAATGATGCAAAAACTTTCTGTAAATCTGTCTGTTTTTCCAAAATGTCCATGGTTTGGTCTTGCCTTTACGATAAAAGGCCGTTGTATAATCGCAGCCTGTGAATGCGTGAAATGCTGGCAAAGCGCGACATAGGTCTGATCCTTCGCTATCTCTGTATAGTTGACATATGTTAAGTCTTTATTTTTTCGATGAAGTAGTTGTTAACCAAATTTGTAGATCAGGAAATTTGTGAATGTTGCCTAGCAATGTTATTAGAATGTCGGTGTCGGAAGCTTTAATCGTTATTTTAGAATTTGGTTTCGACTTACTAATGTTATAGATAATTCTGTCAGCTTCTTCATAATAACAACATAAATTATCTTCTTGAGTTTTGAAAACCATTCCATTGACTGTTGAGTACGAAAAACATAGTTCTTCTACCGTCAAGAACACCTGTTTTGTTCCTAATATGCTTTTTATATCATTGTTTCCCCAGTGTTCACTTAAAAATTTAACAAGGGCTTCTTTAAATTTAAAATTTTTTAAACTGTTAAAAAAATCACCTGGCCTGTTTTGCTGAGGTCCAACAATCGTATATGGGATGTTTTCTTCTTGACGGTTGGCTCGTTCGCAATCCTTAATCGATGGAGAGAAATACCTATCGAAGACTATATGTATTTCCGAGGCACTCGTATTACATATTTTTTTCAATATTAATTCCGAAATCTTTTCAAAAGTTTGTGGTACTGATGGTCCCAACAAATGAAGAAAATAAAACCCATCTATGACGTCGATATCTGTTTGTGTCGGGATGGAGGACTTAATTTTTAATTTCAATTTTTTAGCAAGAGTTGATTTGTCAGTCTTATGCATTTCTCTTGTGCAATGATAGAGAGCTGGCGGAGCAGGTGATAGTGGGTATGACAGACATACTTCCATATTAATTTTCTTCTCTGTTGTAATAGCCAATAATTTGCCGAAAATGTCTCTTTCAATTTTAATGAGAACCTGTTTATTTCCACTTTTTTGAAATTGTTTAAGACATTCGGACGCGAAATTAAAAATCTTATTACGTTTGATGGGTTTTTCAAAGCGTTCTGGATCAGTGACATATTCTTCTATAAATTTTTCTTTTTGTTGCTGTCATAACATGTTTACGTTTAGTAGAAAGTTGCAAGTTTCCTTGGAAGCTGCTCTACCGGTTGTAATATTAAATAAATTGTTTCGATCTATTGTTGGGTCAAATGGATTAATGTTTTGTGCAATGGAATTTAATATGTCGTTTAGTGCTCTTCTATCTTTATCAATTCTATTTTTTTTTAATTCGTAAGATATGTCGTCTTTTCGTGTTATATGGATTTTTTTCCAGCATTTTAGATATAATTTTCGTACGTAAGCTATGGCTAAAAGCCCAACGCTGCCTTGCTGAAATAGAATTGGTGAAATGGCTAATACCCGTCAAACAATTAGCGGCATCTACATTAATTGTTTGCTCTAAAGTGAGGTCAACTGGTACTCTAGCCATATTTCCATGAGTTCTTTTAACACCAAAAGCACCTCGCTTAAACTCTTCTAACAACGCGACATTATTTTCTTTTAAATTTATTAGATTATGATGATATAATAAAATCTATCTTGCGTAATTTGGTTGGTTAAATGCGAAGAATAAATTTGCCATTTCAAATAAAGAGTCAACGTACAAATCATAATTACTGGTCCTGATGCTTCGGAAGAATCTAAATTACACATTCATAAATTCTATGTACTGAATGTAAAAACTCGCAGTTTTTCCGAATGTTTCGTTCAGTGTATATTCGATAAATTCCCTATATGCTTTCAAAACATTTTCTAATGCGAGACGTAAAACAACAGCATAATTTGGTTCCGTTGGATTATTTTGCAAGTTAATGAGATCTTCTATCAAAGCTTCTGTTATTGTTATATTTTTCTCAGCAAGAAACTGATTAAAATGTAATGTTTGCAGCGTGCTTGACAATAAAGCGTGAATACGTTTACATCTATTAAAATGTTTGCCATCGATGAAACCATTAACTGAACCGGCAGCTAAAACTTCCGACTGAACCAAAACATCCACTATTCCACTCAAATCTATCTATTTCCCTAGAGCTTTAAAAAAATGCCATTTGAATGTGGAAAGCTCCCATATTTATGAAGACATCGTCAAATAGTGGACGCTCCGTCATCAGAATTTGCATGGCCATTTTCGCAATGGCCAGGTCGTACGTTAAAATAATATGAGATTGATCACACTTGTTTGCTATTTTCTTGGCATTCCTCATCGTTTCAATGACAACACTATATGATGTTGGTGACGAATTTATTTGTGGCAAGTAGTCGACAATTTGGACTTCGCTGTTGTCAATAGTAGTTTTAATATTAAAACCGATCCACATAGGTGTTCCAGGAACTTGATTCAATGATATGGCCCAAATAAGATCTCTGACAATTGCATTTTCTTTAGCATTCACACTTTCATTTAAAACTTCTTTGATAACAGTCAAAGGCGATAATAATGCTTTAGCAGCGGCTTTTCTATGATATGATTGTACTTCATAAGGAATTTGTTCAAACCGTCTTCTTTTCCGAGGTGTTGAAATATTGCTGTCGTCAAGAGAAGTAGAAGGATTATCTGCTACGGTTACATCTGTTGGAATGTCATTTGTAGAAAATTGATATATAATGCCAACAGTATCATGCAGAGTGTCTTTACCGCTCAAAGTTTCAACGTATCGATCGTAATTATCAAACGCAACATTTGTGTTTAACCCTTTTTGAACTTTTATACCGGCTGGTAGTAAATTATTAGTTTCACACGCTGTGTACGTCATCTCAGTTTCTAATTCTTCAGCAGTAGTAGTATATGCGACAGAATGACCATACTTATTTAAAATCGTTACAACTTTTCTGCTACTTGTTAACGATTTCATAGATAAACCTAACATGAGGTGCTTCACTGGTTTGATTCTACCTTTTGAGATAATATAAATAATATCATGACACAGTGATTCTATTTTAACATCATCATCATCTGAAGATTGTCTCCGAACATCAGGTCCTTTCACAAGACAAGAAATGAATTCATATAAACTGGCAGGAATCTCACTCTCCGTCGAGAATGTGATTGGGTTTTAACTGTTCCGGAAGTTTTTTTTTCTTTATATTCAGAACTGAATTTCGAATATGGTAAGCTACATCTTGTAATTTTGATTTTTCTGCAGTTTTTTGGATCAATGTCTCACATACTAATTTATTTATATCCATACCTATCTTATAAGCAATTTTCTTTTGACCGTACTCTTCTTGCAGTTGTAATGGCAATAACATCGCCGTATACAGTTAGAATTTTGTTTTGTAAATGTTGAGGTGTGTAATTCTCGAAATCAGAATTAGATGAGCTATTAGCACTAAATTCTATCAACAGAGATTTGTAGCGCCATAATAAATCAGTGAGGTAAAATACATTTTCTTTTTTAATGATTTGATCCTCCAAGTACACAGAAAGTGCTTCAAATGCTTCAGCATGAACTTTCCGCATTTTATGCCAATCGCTTTCTGATACTTGGTGCGTATCTAAACATTTTTTATATTTTTCTTCGTAGCGCAGCTTACACAGACGATGATATGCAAAACATTTAGACTCTTCTAATTTATTTTGTAAATCAATGTCATCCAAAGTTTCAGCAAACACTTTAATTTTTTCCCATAAAACAACTGTCTTACAAATGGAAACATATTTCCTACGAGTGCCTACTTTTTTCTCTTTTTGAGAACAAAAGATACATTTGTTACATCGACTATCTAAGTCTACTGGACGCCTTGAGATTGCACATGCTCTGATTGCTCTATCTCCATGTGGCTAGTTTCCGGCAAAACACTAGAAGTACTTAGTTGAGTCTAGAAGAAATCGTAAAATAAGATTGCAATAATTAAAATTATGACGAGTTGAAGGTATGTTATATTCAGTAGCGCTCGAAATAAATTTGTAAGGAACGTTGTTGACAGCATTGGCAAATGGTAAGCGATTGAAATCAGAGTTGTACGCCAACATCTACGTGACGTTTATTTTGTTAAGGAAAATCATGAAAATATATGATTTTTTATTTACTAATGAGTTTCTCTTACTTGAAAATCCTTTCATTTAAAAACCAAGAATTTTGATATCTACAAAAGATTTTTGAACACTACTGTAGTTATTTACTTTAATATTTCAGAACAATATAACCCAGGAGTACCGACAAAAATCACGCAAACCGTATTATGAAACATAACACATAATTGTGAATGTAATAATTTGAAATTAATATACCTCTTCAACCATTGAAAGATCAATATCAACGCTTGAAGTTTCCATCATTGATGCTTTGATATCTGTACAGGAGTTTCTTCTTTTTGTCCTGATCTGACATAGATGCAGAAGAAGAGCACATTTCAAATTGTATCTAAAAACCACAACAAACGTGCTTTTTAATTGTTAAGTATCTATTGATACGCGGATCTAAAGTTATTTCATACATCACTATAGCTTTGAAATCGATTAGAAAAAGTTTTGCATATACTGTAATATATATTAAAAATCCACACAGTTAGAATTAAATATCTTCTAAACGGTACGGTAAAAGTTAATGAAATTTTTCCTGTATTGTTGATGTAATAAACTTAATATGCGAACAAAATTACTTACATTTTGATTGAAAAATTATCAAATTCTTCTTTCAGTTTCTTCTTCAGAATCATCAATTTTCGATAGCATTCAATATGATATCCCAAATTTTCTCTGGACTTAGGCATTAGATTTATGTCGCCATGTTTCAAGCCTTTCAATTTACGATAGCGTATCATTTTGACACAACCGTTAAATGTTTTGCTTGTAAAAGCGATTACTTTGTTAGCTTTACTACAAATGAAACACTTTTCCATCGTTATTATTAAAAAAAAATTAAACTCGTTGATATAAAATTGCGAGAATATTCAAGCGAGTATTTCCGTAGTAAGTTGGTTCTAAAGTCATACTTTTTCGATGTTTCGTACAATGAGCGTGGCGGCGACATCAACATATCGTCTCCACTACGATTCTCATTAAAACAATCGATTAGCGCGCTTCTTTGGAAAACGATCATCATTTCGCTAGACGAAAAAAGTGACATCAGAGCGATATAAAGCCCCATTTACATATGTAAGTCGCTAACGCACAACGCAAACGCAAACGCGGAGAAAAAAAGAAAAAAATAAAAGAAAGAGAGAAACATTCGCGTTTGCGTTTGCGTTCTGTATTTGCGACTTATGTCGCAATACGATATATATTATAGATGGAGCTTAATGGTATATGCGCGTAACATGTGTGCTGTGTAAAATTGAATCTGCCGCGTTTTTGCGGCTACTTCAAAACTGGCAGACCTGTGTACTTCGATTGTAAATATTTTTACCTTTAGAATAAAAAAAAAATTATTCTGATATCTTGTGAGATAGGGTAGTTACTGAAAACGCTCCCCCATATAGTGGTCTGCCGAGGGGTTGCGGCGGGCTGAGGATAGGCAGACCAGGTTTTATTTCATGCTTTGGTTTACCCTTATCGTTCTATACAAAAATCATCCTGATATCCTGTCAGATAGTTACATAAAGAAAATATGTACCGAAAGTTTACATCTTTTTTGCACTTTCGGCCATAATAAGAGAGGCAGACCTACGGTTTTATGTTTTACAGACATTAAGTCACCGATTTGCAAATTTTCCTGACATCTTATCAAGTAGCCAATCTGACGGTCGCCGCTTGGACTATAAAGTATATGAACATTAGAAATTAGAGTTAAGGTTTCTTTTGTTTAACATGCGCCGATATATGTGCAATTGTCTTGTCTTTTACGTAAGCAAAGTTGTTTGTGAAATTTAAAGTTTTAAAGGAAGTGTTGAGATAAAAATAATTTTAATTTGTATATTGCCAGCCTGTCTGTCTAGTAATATTTTTTGTTTTTCAAGGTTGGCTCCAACTGCTTCCTATACGTTAGTCTTTTTCTTTTTCTTGTAGCAACTAGCAAATCGGTTATACTTTTAGAACGGAAGCTCTCTCGTGTGAGACTCTCCTTCGTCATTTTTGCGTGCGAACATTAAACGTTTTGTTAATTAAGTTTTCTCCCGAAATAAAAACTTAACAGATAGCACTCAAGCTATAACAATATATTTAACGATAACTTATCAAAAATAATTGTGTTATATATATATCCTTTTATTCAAAAATTTTTTCGCCTATCTCGGTTACCTCCTCGTCCACGAGACTTTCTTTCAGCTCAAGGCCACTGTTTTGCTGTAAAACACATTATTATAAAATATTACGTATCTTATTATTTATACAAAATGTAATTAATGTTTATTATAGTAAAATATGTAGTAAAATGTAATATAAATAAATGAATTACGAGATATTATGGTAATTTTTTCATCTGTAATAAGTGGAAAATAAATGTAATTTTTATGCATTTCTTGTTTATTTTCAGCTTTTGCGATTTACATTGTTATTTCGGTGTTGATTATAATTGCTTCAGTGATATTGATTGTCTTTTTTGACTGCTGTTTTAATAACTGCTGTTGCTTTGCTCCAGATAATGACGGTAATTTATTCTGCATGTTTAATTCTTTTTCTTTTCCTTTTACTTCTGTTTCATTTATTTCAATATTGAAATTTTCTTCGTCGAATTCCTCAACAGAGTCTTTTGATATCATTCTATTAAAAAATATATATATAAAATTTTTTAAAATTCAATAAAAGACACTTTAAAGATGTTTTTCCGAATGGGGATCCCTTTTGATTGAGTTGAAATTTTTCAGTTGACATTGTTACGTCAATATAGGTATCATTAAAATATACTATTATTCTCGAATAGGTATCATTAAAATATACTATTATTCTCGAAAAATAAATGATTATTTAATAAATTATTAGAAAGTTTTCAAAGTTACGTAAGTATACTTACTCTTTTATTATCTTCTTTATTTAATCGAGACATATTTTTTTATTCTTAAATGTTAGGTTCTTGAATTTTTTGAATTTCAAAAACATGCACGTATAATGATGTTAATTACAGTAAAATGACTCTTGCTCTTGGACGTGGCAACATTTGCACTCGAACTATCGATCATGACACATTACAAAATGCATGATATCAGGACAAAATTATCTTTTTAAAAAAAGGTAAAAAAAGGTGCTAAAAGTACGCGCTCTTTAAGAAAAAAATCAAATCAAATAATTTAACCTAAGTGATACTGTCTTCAATTCTGATCCAATAAAATGTAAGTAATGTGTAAAAAGATAACATTGTTTATTTAAAAAATTTTCTATTAATATCCGACGCTAAATTACAATTTTATTTAAAATGATCTTACAAAAATGAAGATTTTAAGAAAATACAATTTAAATTGTATGTGTTTTTTTATTCCCATTAAAAGGATGCTGAAAGGTTGAAATTACACATTGCTGTCGTAAAGATTTCTCCGAAATGACAAAATGGAATTGACAACCCTTTCACAGGATTGAAATAGACATAAAATGTATTTGGGGGACGAAGGAATTTGTAGTCAAAACGAAAAAAAACTTAAAAACTGCTTTCACCTGACATAAACATTTCATTAGTGTAAAAGTTCTGTAGCTCATATGTACAAAATGCTTACGTCCCCTGAATCGGATTACATGAACAAAAAATACAAAGCCTTTTGAGCTACGATTGAAAGCCTAGGAAAAAAGAAATCCTTACGACTACAATTTATGGTAATTTGTACGCTTAGCTAAGATAAGAATGGTAAACAAAGCGTCTAGCAGTAAGTGCCGGATTTTACAAGAGATGGCACTTTAATAAGTTAGAAAAGGATAATGCACGTGTTTGAATAAGACAGGAGATATTGTAAGAAGTTCATTTAGAAATACCATTGAAATTGAACAGACACTGTTTTATCGACCTCATGCAAATTTTACCAACCTTTCAGCATTTTTTTAAAGGGTCTTTCTATTCCAACTCAAGTGATACGTAATTTTTGTACCTATTCAACTTTTCCTATTTCAAGTGGTAATAGCTATTAATTTTTTAAAATATTATTACATCACAAAATTGCGTTCCCATACTCAACTCAAGTATTACTACAAAGAATTAAAGAGGTAACAGTACAAAATATGTTAAAAAATTCAATTTAAACAAAAAATTTTTATGTAAAAAGCTGCCAAATGTTTTATTCAATATAACATTTAAAAATTGTTAATATAACTTTATTATTTTCATTATTTTCTTCATTGCCTTTTTTTTATTTGGTCTAGCAACGCCAAGTGTTTTTTACACACAAATTTTTTTTTAAATTAAATTTTTTATCTTATTTTGTATTGTTACTTCTTTAATTCTTTGTGATAATATTTGAATTGTTTATGGTAACGAAATTTTGTAATAAGTATAATAATATTTGAAAGAATTAAATAGCTATTACCACTTAAGTTGAAATAAGAAAAGTTGAATAGGTACAAAAATTACATATTATATACTTGGATTGAGAAAAGTAACACATTTGCGAAAAATTAAAGTTGTAATCATTTGGATTGGCATAGAAAGACTCTTCAAAGAAAATACAAAGATACATACCATTTAGATTGTATTGTCTCAAAATTATTTTGTTTAATTTATTTATTATTTATTAATTGATATAATCACGTATTCATTAATTTAATATTGGCGGCTGATGAAGACTGTATGGTAGTTAAGTCGAAATTGGTACCGCAGTTACATATATGTACATCTTAGTATGTAATTAGAAATATATTTATTAAAAAGTTATAAATTTGATTGATTGCGGCCTTTTAATTTTACTTTGTATTATTTGTTAAAATTTTTGATGTATTAATAAAAACATATTTGGAACAATATTGTTTTTAATAGTTTGTTTTAATACACATCTATATGTATATAATTTTTACTAACAAATTTATTATACATATTTAATATAAACAAACTTCTATAGCAATGTTAATAATATTGCGTATTTCACATTGTGTTGCAATAGTACACGTTTATTTTCTTGGCGATCAATAAAATGCTACGATTGAAAGTAACGATAAAATCATAACCTCACGTATACTGTGCCAGTATGATTTCTGACACGTAGTTATATAATAGTGAATGTGATAACAGATTCAGCCATAATATTAAGTAAATTTGTTCAATAACGAAATTAATTGATATCTTTTTAATAAGCTTGACTTAAAATTTCTATAAAATTTTATACACTTTAATGGATCCAAAGAAAAAGCAGCTTTTAGTTTCTACAGGTCAATCTTTTGAAAAAATTTCACATTTCTTGGGGATCAATCTGTCAAGTTACATAGGCAGATTATATAATCTTGCGCTCGTGATATTGGTCATCTTCTTGAGTCATGTATCTTATTATAACATCTGTACTGGTCATTGCAAAGATCAACTTATCATAAAGTTCATGGTAGCATTATGGTATTTCCTATTGATTCTATTATTGCTAACCATGGTGAGCGCATCTTTATTTTGTCCAAAGCAATTTGCTTTCCCTCACCAAGAGATGTTTATTATGGATTCCATACTTGAGTAAGTTTCTTTGTTAAATAATTCCAAATGTATATTAGGTAAGTCTTTATATACATTAATTAACATAAACATTCAATGAAGTTATAGTTGCAGGATAAAATAATATTCTAAAGTATAACATGCAACAAAACTTTTATGTATGCCAAAGTTGTATGCAAAAATTTTACTCTATTCATATCAAAATATAAAGAAAAGTAGTGAAATATAAGAAAAAATACAAAATCAAGCAATTAATCAAGTATTTAATTATAATATACACTGGTCCAAAAAATTAAAGGATCACCTGTTCTATCCTCTAAAAATAGGCAAA